TTACTGAATGTAGTTTTGTTATCAGTACTTTTGATTTTTCAACGAGTGAAGACTAATAGATAATTTGACATGTCAAAATAGTCAAATATTATGGACCAAAGACTTATTAGTTTTTAGTTTTTTACTGCTGTAACTTGTAACGATTWACTAATGTACCTAGTTATAATTTTTCCATTTGCTGAAGTTGAATAAAAAAGTAACATTTGTTTTGGATTCTGCAGCTCATCTGTGATTAATATTCAATATCCAATAATTTAGTATAATTACTACCTCATTCAAATACAAATTTATAGAAAACATTAGAATTTAATAGAATTTAAATTTACACTTAAAAGTATACTAATTTTTTAAATTGTTTTCTTCTTTATAAGAATGTTGTGTTGACGACAGTTTTTATCTTTGCATATTACAAGATGTCTTTAAAAAGTGTTTTAAAAAAGAAGTTTAAGATAAAAAATCCAATTGTTACGATTAAGAAAAAAAAAAATAAATCCAAGCATGTTCTTTATACGCCGTCCACAGATACTTACATTAAAACTGATGCAGATGATATTAACAGAGAATATTCCGTAACAGACAAAGAACAAAACCAAGACTTACCTACTAAAAATCTATTTAATGGCAAAAACGGTGATGAAAAAAATATGAATAATGATGGATCGATAGAATCAACAACTGAGACAAAACGTAATAAGAAAAAACGCAAATCTACAGATACTGATAAAAGTCTTGAACATGAGGTACCTATAAAAAAGAAAGTAACATTTGCAGCTGATGTAAAAAGCGAAAAAGAAGATCAGAAAAGTAGTGCAGGCAATTTAAAACTAATTAGCTTAAATAAACGGAAAAAATTAAATTATTTAAAGAAGTTGAAGGCGAAAAAAAATAAACAAAAAAATGCAAAAAAATGTGAAGAAAATGCAACTGCCATTAGTACACCCAGACAAGAACGAGCTGTAGAGTATTTGATGCAATGGAAAAACGACCGCRCAAATTGGAAGTTCAAAAAAATTTATCAACTTTGGTTGATTAAAAACACTTATGACACTCTGAAGGCAAGTATTTTGTTATTCACAAATACATTTTTAATGTAGGTAATTGAAATACAATTCTACTATTACTAAAAAAAATCATTATTAATAATATAAATTTTTATGAATATTTTTTTATTATAATGCACCTACTGTCTATGCATCAAAAATTAAATAATAAAATAATATATTTTTTTTAGATATCTAAAGAAAATTTTGACACTTTGGTAGAATACCTTCAAACTATTGAAGGTAAAAGTCGCAGTATAATTCTTCAAAGCGCTAATTCAGTTGTCTCAGAATTTTCATMTTCTAACGAAAGACAACTAGAATTAAATTCATCGCAAGAAGTTAAATATCAACGAGCAAGGACTATTATACAAATGTTTGACTAATACATTTAATTAAATATATTTTTGTATAAATTACATTAAAACCATAAATATAACTGATTCCGATTATCTACATAATAAAAATTCATCATTTAAATAGATTTTTTTTATTTTGTAGGCTCACTTAATTTTGAAATAAAATGTTTAAGTTTATCTTCATCTTGAAGTCCAATCATCTTTCCTTGAACTTTACCATCTTTCATTAATATTAGTTCTGGTACGACAGAGACCTAAAAAAACATTTAATTTATTTAAAATAATGTTTCACTAGTTACAAAGAKTTTAAATAAATATTTTATTAAAGATGTCAATAAGTTTTTATTAATGTATTTTAGGATAATAGTTTATCTTCAAAGTCACAGAAATAAACTGTTTATTTAAATTTAACTCCTAGTTAACAAGCATACAGTAAGCACATGAAATTATTGTTCAATATACATTATACTTGGAAGTTTAGAGGTTCAAAACTTCAATTAWGAGCCAGAGTAAATAGATATAAAAGATTTTAAAATATATTAAGAATATTTGAGTATGTGAGTTTATACAGGTTATAGTAAATCAAATTATAATATATTAGATATTACCTTTTTTTTTATTATTATTATTAGAAAATAAACAATCTATACTAGTGAAGCACAATAAGTAAATATGATGACAAAAAATACAAGTACCTAAGATATGAATTATATGAAKGAGGCCATTGATAGAATCCAACACAATATTRTTTTATTCCGGATTTATTTGAGTAAGTCTCTACACCATTTTTGTTTCAAACGGTGTATTGTGTTCTCAGGGAGAGTTGAGCATGAGAGTAATGAAATTTTTGGGTCAAGATATTTAGATAATTTAGAATTGAATCTAGAGTAATGGCCAGAAGCTGATTGGCTAACTGTTTAGATTATTATGCAGTGTATACTGTATAGTTGGACTGCACCAGGGTGCAGAAGTAAAAAGTCAAAGTGGAATTGATGGAACGAGTGTATGATACAGATTTACAAGGGTTTAGMACAATCCAAAATCTGAATGGCATATGCCCACATGGGTCTTAACTCTTAAGAGTGATTTTTATATAATAATTTTTATGTATATTGATGATTTGGTTCTGAGTATTGGTCGTAAGAGATGTAAGAGGCGGTTTAGTTTTTTTCATTTTATTTTAAATGTGGACCCTAGGTTAGTCTCTACTCTCTTATCAAGAATAATTCCAAGATATTTTACTCCGTCAATAAGGGATATGTGATCTATGAAAATATAGTGGAGGAAATACGGGTTTTTCGAGACTCARATTTTCATTGACTGACTTCCCGGGGTTTATTTTTGATACACCATTTTAATGTTCAATTTTAAATTAAGTTTAAGTAATTTTGTAAAGATATGGAGGATTTCACTAGGTTTTTATTGGGAAAGAGTATTGCTGTGTCATCTGCAAATGAGGCTATGGTTGAGTTTGTTAAGTTTGGCATATCGACAGTATGTATTTTGAATAAGTTGGACAAGAGATCGCTGTTTGTGACATTCCAACTTGAATACAAAAGTAAAAGGAAAAAGATTTAAACAGCCGAACAACTAAAGTTCGATTTTAAAAATAAGATTTGATTATTAAAAAGTATGGGGCGGGTAAGAACTGCTTTAGTTTATAAAGCAGGCTTTTATGCCAAATTAGTTTGAATGTTTCCAATATGTCTAGGAATACACCAGAACAGTAGTGATTTTTTTGAATAATGTTGATATTAAATCTGTTAGCCTGTATATTTGATGTATGGTTGAGTATTTAGTCTTAAAGCCAAACTGAGAGGTTAGGGATAATATCAAGTGTCTGAAATATTGGTGGATATTAYGAACACGTAAGATTAACATTTTGATGTAAAATACTTGTATAATAACCATTTATTGGGAAATAACTAGGCAAAATAAATTTAGTTGTATTTATATTTGATATTTGTAATAATATATTATTGAATTAATTTCATGTTGATAACACAATGTAAATCACAATTTATAAATTTAAATAAAATGTCCGTGCAATACAAACATTTTTTAAAGAACTATTCATGTTTATTATATTTAATATATAAATTTTTTTATTAAAATAAATGTGCAKATTTTCCACATACTTCATTGTATTTAGGCTAAAAAGTTGTAGTCCAAAAAGGTTAAATTAAATTAAATATCAGGTGAACAAAATGGGATAGCACAATAATAATATATTAYRTAGAATGTTGGTTCATTATTCCACTTTTTATACTCTGTTCCTGGAGATTATACCAGTTCTGACCATCCTGAGTGATGTCCGTGGAAGCATGGTACCCAATTTTCCCTTCCACCAGCCTTTCGGCACGCAGCGCTCATAACRATGATCATTTCAGAACTTATACAACTTAATATAATCAGTAGAGTTATTGATGGGGTCAATGTGTGCGACTAGACAAAAACTGTTTGCCGCCAGATATAATTTCTTTTGAAACAGAGTATAAACTTAAAATATTTTTTTCATTTTGAAATCCTTCAAAAAAATTCTGCTTCAAAATATAAAAATGAAAATATATATCAAATATAATATCATAATRATGATAATAAAATATATATAAGCTACATTACTATTCAAATCAGTAAAAACACTATATTTTATAAAAAGAATATTATTAAGTTATAGAATTAATTGTGTATAATTCAATAGCACCCCTCAAAAAAATGATAGTAATTATTTTGGACATTTAAGATCTTAACTTTTAACAACAAATATCTTAAAAACATTGTTTTTAAAACTGTAACAAAACTATATTTTTAATTGTTACCTAATGTTCTTTTTTAAAGAACAATATCTCAAATCTTTCTAATAATTTGTACGTAAAAAAATTGAATTTAAAATGAATAGTTCCTGATAAGTAAAAATTTAAACTTTAGATAGGTAGAGTAATTTATGAAATAACCCTGGGCCTGAAAAACACTAAAAAAAAACTTTAAATAATTTTAAGTTATAAGTTACAACCTATTATAACTTACTAATAGTTTTAAATTCAATTTTAAATGATAAAAGTGTGTGTTTATGTTGTTTTTCAATTACTTAAAATTTTGATACTTTTGATACAATGAGTGCTAACACTGCTAACTGGAGAAATTATGCCGTAAACATCCAACTAACCGTCAGTTAACCATTAACGGATACTTAACCGAACATTGTAAGAACCGTCCTAAGTGACTAATTAAATTATTTTAACAATAATTRTTTTTACTAATTAAATAATCACTCTGTAGTCTGTATGATATTGAACTTACATCATATTCCATGGCAATTTCAGCATTGTCATCAATATCAACTTTGGCAAGATGAATTGTACCTTTATGTTCTTCTATAATTTTTTCTACTCGAGGAAGTAACATTTTACATGGTCCACACCATCTAAAAAATTTAAAAAATTAGCCATTTAATATAATTCTTTAAATAAAATAGTAAGTACTTTTTTAAACAAATGACAATTTTATTTATTGCTTACATTTACTTTATACTTAAATTAAATAARAAAATTTTAACTCATCTATACTACTATATAAAATGAAGTCGCTTTTTTTGTTCGGGATTAACTCCGACACTACTTATTAAATCGTCGTGCAATTTTTTTTAAATTAAAGAGRACATCACAGAGAAGGTTTAAGGCAAAAAATTAGTCCGATTAAGTTAATAAATAATTAGTTATTATTAATTAAAATAAACATGTAAATTGTATATTGTTAATAACCAAGGCAGGTATTGTGCGCTCGCATCGCCTGGCAAATATATAAACATTGTTATTTTAATAACTGTTGATTGTTGGCTGGTTTGATCATTTAAAGGGGTAATTGATTGTACTACTTTCATTTTTAAAATGCCTAGACGAAAGTTAAACATTAGTTGATCTCAGAATGATGCCAAAAGAATGTGTGTAGTACGTAGAGAACAACAGTAAAATAATGATGATGTTGTTAACGACAGAGGTTCATAGTCGAGAAAATATATATATATATATTTACATACGTAGCAAAAAAATCTACCACCACAGGCTCTTTACTTTTGAGTACTTGTTGATYAAAATCTTCTTGATCTTGAATTTTAATTATTTTGTGTCTAGCTATAATTAAAAAAAACACATAATGTTAATAACTATTGATTTTAAAGAACCATTAATTTTGGTACTGGAATAAAATACATTTCCGCTTAGCAAAAAAATATCTGGTAAGAAGGTAAATCAACGATCAAAGAATATTTAACACAAAATAATAATGATTGCAATTMTTCTACAACCCCATTTGTTAAGGCATTGATTAAGTATTTTATTCCAATAACATTATTTATGTGTAATAAACTAATACTTTAAGTATTACTTATGGTTGTGCTGAATGTTCTTGTAATGATTTTTGAAATCGACATGTTTTTTGCGACGTTTAAAAACATGTTTAATTATTACTGACTAAAATATTAAAGTTATTACACTGATGAAAACTTAATAATGCTGTTGCCTGTTTTTTWAATTATTTTAATTCTAATTTCTAATAGTATCGACTTTCAGTACGTATTACGTAATAGACTAATAGATATTACTATATTAGATAAGCATTATTAGCATCAAAATCTGGTATTGAAGACAGAATAATATTATTATACTTCTTATTGCTCTTAATGAATATCAATTCTAAGATATTGATAAAATGATAAGAGATTTCAATTCTTTATCTCGATGTTATAGATAATATAATATAATGGATAGGGCAACGATCACGGCTATAGATAATATTATCTATGGCAACGATCAACACTGTCTAGCGCTCCGAAGACGCGGTGGCCTGCGCAGCAGCTGCTACGACCGGTTTTCGTCGAGTTAGTGGGTCAACTTACGGCGAATAGAGTATAGGTACATCATGTATTTAATTCAATCACGGACCAAGGATGCATATAAATCAGTCTAATTTATGACCATGGTCATGGTTAAAGATAAAGCTATGCTATATATTATCAAATCACCATTTCCCTAATAAACAAAATTTAGACAAACAAAATAACGCATGTTTATAGATTTTGCTGTTATTTTCATGCATATTTTTTTTTTTTTTGGAATAGATAAAATATAAACAAGAATAGTACAATACCCAATACCCATTGGATACTATTTACAATCTAATTCACCATGTTATATTTAGAAGATTATCTCGAAAGTAAGTACCTGGAATATTTATAAATTTCAATATCAAACAAATCAATTATTGCTATATCTGTTTTTAACTGTTTCAAGATATCGAACACTTGCCWCAAGAGATGAGAAATCGCTTCACAAAAATGAGAGAAATGGACTTACAAGTTGAAAGTAATACAATTTATTCTACCGAATTCTGGAAACAAAATTAGTTTAACTCCCAATCGAATTTTATAATTTTTTAGGGGGGAAACTGTAGAACTAAACGAGTTAAGAACGTTGGTGCAAAAATAAATTTGTAAAAATCATTAGTTAGCTATAAAGTCATAGCTATAATATGATGTTCACAATTTTCTTTGTTTTTCGAATTCACAACTATAACATTCTATAACATACTTTAACATACTTTAATACCCTTTTGTAAACTTCTGTTTTACCAGTCTTTTTTTTTAAACATACCTGTGTAGTTAAGCATTCTAAAAACGTTGAGGAAGTCAGACTTATTTTAAAGTTATAACTAAATGAAATTTATCCTATTTTCATATGCACCCAGCTAGGTCACTTGCTTGAACAATAAAAATAAAAATATTATTTGACTTGTTTGGTAAAACAACTATAGATGGATCTCAAAGTTGAAAACAAAATTATAAACAGGTCWTATTAACCATCTCTTTATTTAGATTTAGCTAGGTTTCAAAAAAATATAATAAAAATAACATAAAATTTTTTATAAACTTATTTAAATAAAGCGTAGTGTGTATGCATAAAACACTAAAATTTGTGAATGTCCGGATGTGTGATTTCYGGCATTATTTTTTTACCATTGTCTTATTTTAAGAGGACGCCATATAGGCATTTGTTTTCTCTATCTTACAAACGTACAACATGGTATATTTTATATTCACAATAATACGTTTTACCCTGTAATTACTTGAATTAGAGTGAATTTGCCTCATAAAATTTAAAGACAAGACCACTATCTAGAGCATATTGGAGTATTTTATAGATATTATAAATTTTAAGTAAGTTATGATCATTTTTATATTTTTKGTTTTTTGTACATTTTAAAACGATAAAAATTTACTTAAATATAATAATATTATCCGAGATACTATCCAATTTTCTTGCCTTTAAAATTTATAAGAGTTGAATTCACTCTACTTTTAGAAATAACAGAGTAAATCGTATTATTGAAAACATAAAATTTGCCATGTTGTACGTTTGTAAGATGGAAAAAACAAATGGTCATGTGGCACCTTCTTAATGAAATACTCAAATACTTATTACTTAAGTATCCGAAAAAAAATTAAAAAAWWTTTTGTAATTTTTTAGGAGTAAACTACAGTACGTCAATTGTTCCTTTTATCAATATAAAATATATTTAATTCAAATTAAAAAAAAAACTTCGAAAAACTATTGACTATTGTCAAATTTATCTAAATGTATTTCAGATTCTATGGATTGCATAAAAAAAAATGTGGATACTTTGTTTTTAAAAGCAGATAATATGAAACCAGATGAACTAGAAACTAATTTTAAAGCAATCATGAAAGAAGGAGAAAAATCTGTTGAACTTTCTGGTAAATTTATATTAGTTTAGTATTTGTTTTAAATCATAATCTTAAATTTATGTATTTTAGAGGAAAAAGTTTTGTTGGCTAACCATATGCATGACCTTATGTCAAAATATTTAAGACGGTTAGATCATGAGTTACACAAATTTAAAATGGAACTAGAAGCTGATAATAGTGGTATCACTGGACTTATTGAAAAAAGTATTAAGTTCAAATTATTTTTGTAAAAAAGTTACAATAGGTACAATTTTTTTTATTATTATTATTTTAGGAAGTTTGGATTCAGAACAAAGTAATATTATAATGCCCAATCAAAAAGAAAACAAGTATCAATTGAATAGATGTCTTTTTGGTGGTAAGTAGTTTAACCATTYATTTAGTCAGTTAAGATTTTTGTTTTTAGAAACTATTTGAGAGTARAAGGTACCTAATTGAAAGTATTAAAATTATATTTTTCATTCAATACCAACATAATTTTATTGTTTCAGACAAACAAGAAGCATTAAATCATAACACTTCCAAACAAAAATCAACTTCAATAGCTTCAAATTCTACTAGYAGTGGTGATGTAGCATCACCTTCACGGCGTGATACAAGTCCTGCAAACTCTCGAATGGTTCCATCTTCATTAGCGTACACATTGGGACATATGGGAGCTGGAAGTCCTGCTATTGCAGCAGCTGCATCTCAAGCTATAGTTGCTACTCAACAAGTAATTTTATATTTTATTACAATGCATTTAGTCGAAATAATGTATTAGTAATAACTAATAAGAAATTAACTATTTAAAGTGTAATTACTATTTTTTGGCTAAATTTAATTTAGCAAATAATAATATCTAGTCGATTGAAGAAATCTTTTATTCTTTCTTTACTTCATAAACTATTATAATTCTTTATAAAGTATATTCTATAACTTATTATTTAGTGAAAATAAAATAATTGTTGAGTAAAACTAAGAAATTATATGGATTTCTCAAGAGATAGTATTTTTAGTTTCCAAAAATGATCATTATTGTTTTAGCATCTTTAAATTTTTATTTTTTTTTTTTTACCGTTTATTAATATTATAACTGCATGACATGAATTCTCTTATAAATATTTGTAATCTTGGGTTAAAAAATATTTATGCATACAACTTTTATTAATTTTACATTATGAAATTAATTACTTTATATTAAAAATAGGAATTTACTCTCTCCAAATTATTTAAAGATTGCTTAAATACATAATATTTATTTGTTCATAATTTATAATATATAACTATTAAACAGAAAATTGTATTATTTTTAGTTGTCTCAAGGCCGTAGGACAGCTAGTTTAAAAGCGTCTCTTGAAGCAATTAATTCTGGTGCTACATTGACAGGTCAAATGAGCTCTGCTTCTGGTGTTCTACCATCAGAATTACCTATAAGTAAAGAATTAGCAGGTGTTGCACATTTAGTCAATCCTAATATGGATGGAACCAGAAAACATAGAAGGTAAATCATAAGCAAAACTAACTTATGTTATTGCTRTTTTAWTTACATTTTTGGATTTTGTAGACGAGGTGGTACTCAAAATTCACAGATGTCCACTGAAGAAGATGTAGATGAACCAATTGATCCCAATGAACCTCGTTATTGTATATGTAATCAAGTTGCTTATGGTACAATGGTTGCTTGTGATAATAAAGGGGTAATTATATAATCTATTTAATTAACTAGAATATCTCTTTAAGATTATCATCTAAACTCAAAAAAACCTATAAGAAACCATACCCATGATTAATTGCAATTTAAGATTTTTCCATTTAACCAGTTGTTTGGACTAAAAATAGTTTATTTTATTTTAATGCTAAATCACATTTATCAATGTCGACAGTTTATAAAAATCGTTYTACAGGATCTATTTTATCAATAAATCACAATAAATTATAAAGGATTTGGTATAGCCAAATATAATTTAATTTTAATTCTAGCTTCAGTTATTTTAAAGAGCTCGGTGCCGATATAACAAATTTTTTACAGATCTATAAAATTTTAAAAWRATATTTAAAATTTTAGATTTCACCTTTATTATAATATATTTCCACTAATCTACTGCCTAATATATTGTTTTGGGAATTAATATCATTATGTTTTTTATCAATGAAAATTACTTCTCAAAAAAA